AAGCGAGTAATCAGCTGTCACACTTCACAAGAGTTAATTGGGTTTAGTTGAAGTTTGGAACATGCTCCTACTTCAATACATGATCCTAAGGTTCACTCAACCTTAAAGACAACATTCAGATGTTCAGGGTCGGTAGGTCTTTATAGGCCAAGAATAAAGAGTATTTATTTTAAGCTCTGTACTGTACAAGGCTATTTGCTCTACCAAGAAAGGCAGCTGGTAAAATGTCTGCAGTTTGGGTATTTTTGGCAGATGATTGTCCAGATGTAGTAACAGCTAAATTAAAGTTGACTTTGGACAATATGCCTCTCTGAAGCAGTAATCAGTCTGAATTTTTGTACAACGTGGAAGAGACACTACTAATCAAGAAATCAGGTTTCTAAACGATCAGTCTGCAATGATGAAGAGCAATTTATAGCACTTAGTAGGTGCTCAGCAAATATCTGCTAAAGTTAATAGGGTTTCTATTTTATAGTTTGGACTTTGAACAGCTAGGTCCCGTTCCATTCAAAGTGAACTATTTTGTTCATGTAAGTCGTACCTTTTCTATTGGTAACTTATAATAAAAATAGGTTTTGACCATAACTTGACCAAAAATAAACATTACTGAAGTCATCATTCAGTTTGTATGAGAAACTGTTGGTCCCCCCAACTGAATAAGCGGTAATCACCCTGTGGAATTCAGCTCTGCAGCCCCTATTGACAATGGCAATGAACATGTCTATAACAATAATAAGGGCTTGTTTTAATAGAACGTTCCACGCATTAAACACATTAATGACCCATGAAATAACTGTTTTATCTGTAACGCATTAAGCAACATTGCTGAAACAATGTATTAATTGAAAGTCTACTATTTCTCTTAATGTAAGATTTTTGGAAAGTATAAAAATGACATGAAAGTTATTCTGTGAAAACAAAAATAATTCAAAATTAGAGCCATTCTAAATGACTGTATGAAAAATAAAAACCTCTAAAATAAGCTTGGTAATTTTAGAAGTATTATTTTGATGTATTCCCATTTTTCTGATCAAAAATAATATCTTTCTGGATTATGACTTAAGAGCTTTGTGAATATTTTAAAAGCTGATATTTTCTGCTCTGTGTGCATATCTTCTACAGGACATTTTTTTCTCTCTTTTTCTCTTTTTTTAACAGGTACAGAAACTACCATACTCAAATTTACTTCTCTTACTCCCATCTTTTTCAATTTTCTAACACTATGTTTGATATTACCAGAGCACCAGTAGCATTTTCTGTAAACATATGCTATCACAATTAAGTCCAAAGCAATATCAAACAGAATATGTTGGTCCTCTAAACATGAACTATAATGCATGAAGAAAAAGTATGTGAATTATCAGTGTGTTTTATAAATTCTCTTTTGGGGGACATACAAAATATCAGACTAGAGACAATTATTTTACTGTCTGTTTCTCGGATATCAAAGAGAATTTTGAAATTCATCAAAGCTAACCTTCTGTTATGTACAACAGGCTAAGCTGAAAAGAATGTTAACAAGTTCAATTTTCATTCAATCAGCACTACTGCTCTCTGAAATGTTTCATTGCAGGAAAGAAATAAAAATAATCTATATGGTAATTATGAGGATGAATCCCCCAGTAACTTTCAGCTACATGAAAGGTCAGTTCTATTCAAGATATTTTATCAGTCCCCTGCACATACTCCTGTCCTGTCATTTTAAATCTGAACAGCATTTTATTTTCCCATTTACAGCTACCTGCAGAATTAAGTACTTAAGCCAAATAAGAAAAAAAAAAGAAATGTTGAATGCTGGCAAAGGCTATAATAGCATAGAGATAAATCGTTCAGCTGCTCTCTCTCAAGCCTCTAGGGCTGCAGATTTTTCTTCTCCTGGTGCACTGTGGGTATTCAAAACTTGTTCAACATGATTTCATTTCATTTCAGGCACTGCCTGAGAAAACTAAATTACAGAATCAATCATACAGAAGGTCAGAGTGAGACTTCATTACAAGTATTGCATGCTTGCATGAATATCTTTCATTTATGACTGACCCAATATGTCACAATAGCTGTCTAGTAAAAATAATCCACTTTCTGAAATTGATGTACTACTGATGTCAATGCTACTCAGCAGGCTGGGCAGATTATAGAGAGGTGTTAAAAAAAAACCCTTTGGAGCGCACATTGTAGATTTTTAGGATTGCAATCTTTTGTAGATTAAAATAATTTCCAGATGATCATCTGAACTGACAATAATGCTTAGAGGTAAAGCGTTTTTAGCCAGACTATTCCTGTAGATTTCGACTTGCCAACCACATCCTGTTCTAAAACACACATATCCACAACAAGCAAATCAAGGTTGTTCTTTGAAGTCACAATTGCACTGACTTTCAATTTTTTTCCAACAATTTGCTTTTGAATACCAGGGCATTATTTGCATATTTTGAAACAGGAATGCTAATCATTAGACTCTGTTTAATCTTCCCCTCCCCAGCTTTTTTTTTTTTGCTCCCACTTTCTATTTTTTTAAATATAATGGCATAAATTTAAGGAAGATAAACATGTTGTGCTTGTTGCCAACAAAAAATGTAGCTAATCGGTTACGTGACAAACTGTCACTCTTTCTAAAGGAAAACCAATGACGCTCTGAAGAAAAGCTGGTTCAATACCACATAAACAAGCTGGCTTTTCTTCTTATATGATAGTCTTTAATTCACCATAGCCCTCCTTAACCGACAGTCATTCATTTGGATAATAAAACTCCTTATTGCATAAGGTATAAAATAGCCAATGCACACTGGGAAGCCGAATGCATGATGTATAAAGTATTATTTATTATTTTTCTGGTGACCTTCCTAAGGGAAATCTCCGAGGAGCTGTTGTGGAGCATTATGATGTAGCCAGCCACCTCGTACCCGGAGGGAAATATAGAAGAACCTTGACATAACCTATTTTTAACCATGCCTCTGGCGATTCTGAATTCAAGTTTATAGGTGAACATGTCAGGTAGTACATAGAACAAAGCCAACGACACATTGTATTCATCATAATTCTGTCCTGGTACATTTTATTTTTTCCAACATTTGTGATTTAAAATCCCATGACATTTCTTCAAGGTGAAATTCTCCTAGAATTTTCAACAAGATTAGTTTGTTTCCAGCCAAAATAAATATCATTCAGGTTCAGCAAAACTTCAGAAAGGCACCAATAAATGTGATGAGGTCCATGTAAGTACCATGACAACAGCCTGCTCTTAGCTAAAGTACTTAGACTTTTAAAAATCAATGAAATAATTCAACTGCTTTAGTGATTAGCAATACATTACAAAAGAAGCATTAAAAATTGAGTCTTCTTTCCCAACGCCAGTCCGTGGAAGCATTGTTCTTTAAGTGTATGTGAATATCATAATTATTTTATGATTCCATCTTTAGTTCTTTCCAATATAGTAAATTCAATTGACCATGAAATGAAATTTCATAGTCAAAATGCCTCCTTTACACTTTTTTATAGCAGCAATAACAGTTTTATAGCTTTAAGGCAAGGTAATTCATCAGATGTTTAATTTAAAGGCAGATTCTTATATTATTAATAAATATTTACCAATTTAATAAAGCACACATTTTAGCATGCATTATATGGTCTTTTAACTATTTCCTGAACTTAAATGAGCCTCACGAGCATCTATGAATAATGGTGAACCCTGGGCAAACTCCCTTGGTGACTAAACACCTTTTTTATTTTTATTATTTTCCAGGCACAACACTGCAAGCCTGACTGTAGAAGGACAGAGGACAGAACCCTCCCTCCTAGTGTCAAAGGGACAAAAATGTAAGAAAGTCCACAGGAAACAATTATTTGCGATGGCGAGGAACGTTTATGAATACTTAATGACCATTTCCCGACTGTTCCTTGCATTCTTTTCTGACAGAAAAAGTAAAAATAAAAACCCTGATGTTCAGCTCAAACACAAAAGATCACAGGCAAAGAAAATTATGGTGCCGCAATCCTATTTGGGAAAGTAATCTTGTATTTCAGAGCGCACACTGAATCTTTCGCACCGCTAATCCACTACATATTTTGCAATCATCTGTTGTTATCTGGGGAATTAACAATGAAACCAATAAACATCACTGGCATGGTCATAATGTGCAGAGAAATATGTAAACAACCAATAGGATTTGTTTTTTGTTATATCAACACATCTGTTTCATTTTATCAGGGTTAAAAAAAAAAAAGCCCTATAAACTATTAATCTTGTTTTAAAATGTCTGCTTAGTACCTCACCTAGATAAGACACAAATGCATTATATACTATGGTGAAAAAAAACAATCCCAGCAGAAGAGTTTAAAATACTTAAAGCAGATTTACTCTGGTGATTGCTGACTATAATTGCACACTAAGAAAAATAGAACCAAAATTATTGCATTAGTAATCCTGGCTCTCTGGAGTGCCTTATTTGATGTTCACAACAATAAATAACACAATTAGGTATATTTCACACAATAACCTGCTCTCTATTTTCCTCTGCTGGTTATAAGCAATTATTCTTCTTCCCTTTCTCTGTATCACAGTTTGAATTCCATTTTAGGTAGGAGCAAATCATGTATCATCAGCATTACATTATAATCCAGCAAATGCAAAAGGCCTAGGCACCTGATAAGGGCCTTCATTTCTAAAATCTCTCCTGGGCAAACTTTCAACTCAAGTACACCTCTTTGTTAAACCCAAAACTGGCTGCTTCCAAACCAATGAATCAGACTTCTTAAAAGTCATTTCAAACCAGAAGGATCTTTGGGTTATCCTCTTTCAAGTGACTGTCAACTGACCCAGCATCCTCTGGTCCAGCACTGGGGACTGATCCAGCACCTGCATGTAAACGGCACTAGAAAGAACAGTCCCCTCGTCCACCAGTAGACAGGTCTGAACCTGCGTCACAACGCGGGCCCTCAGATCTTTACCCTGAGAAGTACCAACAACAAACAACGCACTTTCAAGCAGTAAATATGCTGCCTACCATGTGCAACCCAGTGCCATGAAGCACGCCATCTTGTTCCACGAGGTTCCTTGAGATGGTAATGGAAGGAAGATCCAGGCTCTGAGGGGGAAACTGGGGTGTGAATTCACTTCCCTGGGAAGGCAACGGATCGCTGAGGCCTTGCAAAGGTAGAAGCACGTCAGGCATGCCCAGGGCGGGGTCTGACTCCGGAGGAGGCGTGATCGGGGGTATTTCAAACTCCTCATCCCCGAGGCTGGGTGTATGGAACGTCTGCTGGAAGGAAACAAAACAGAGATATCTTCATATTCTGTTCCCAAGTATTTCTCCTTGGAGGGAAAAAAAAAAAGAGGGATTTTGCCTGAAAACACTACATAGCTAGACCAAATATTTATTTCTCAAATGAAAATGTCTTAAGCACAGATTTCCATATATAAAGTTTTGCTGATCATTCTGATTAAAGATTTAAGTCTCATTATCATATGGTTTTAATGGAGTATCAGTATTAACAGTTTTTTAATGAGTACTTAATTAACAACATCTGTCTTTGTTGTTAGTTGGAGCACCAGCGACATTAGATTTGGCTATATAACAAATTGCCACTTTATTGATATGTTAGCGAAACAGCTCAAATCGCTTACATTATCCACATGCTTCATAAAATGCTGACGATTTTGTGGCGCACACACACAACATTAATCCAGAAGTGAACATTTACACATATTTACCTTCTGCCACAATATAGAAACCAAGTAATATTAAATGTATGGTTTGCTTTTTTAATTTCCTTATCGGTCTACTCCCAAGTGCAATGAATGCTTCTAAGGAAATTATTACTGTTTGGAATACAGCGTTTTATACAAGGATTATCAGAGCATAGATACCCTGGGCTTTTAATTAAACTGTAAAGAGTTATTTTCTTTTATATGAAGATTTTCATATGCATTCATCAGATCATTTTTCTACCAGTCTTCAACATTTAAAGACTATAGGATGAGCACAGGGGTATGTTGATAGAAATGTACTAATTCCACCGACATTGCTCACTTATTTATTAACCAAGTGTTATTTCTCAAGACCTAAGTGAATAATGCACTGCTTTCTTCACTGATACTCAGTGTTTCCACATAGGGCCTTGCGACGTAAATCAAGGGTGCCCTGCTGAACCACATTAACTATCTTTCTTAAAACAGAACTTGGATCTTGTGGGGAAAGGGATCAACGTTTAGAATATTATTTTTGATAGGGTGCAGGGGTTGGGGTGGACCATTCAGATTTTTTTTTATTCCTAGCTCAGAGGGTCAACATTATAGTTCATTTATTATTAATAATATTTTTTGAAGAATGAGTTGGTGCAAGACCATTTGAATCTGCTGTAATTGGTTAAGAGAACTAATTAAGAGCTGAAAACCATCATTCTTCAAGCTATCAATGATGATATAACTTAATAACCACTTGAGAGAAAACAGAAACAAACTCAAGGGGAAAAAAAAACATGTCTTGCATACAGAACCTGTCAACTGCCATTTGTATCTTGCCAGAAATAAAGAGGTCATAAGCAATGGGAGTTTATGGCAGGACAATCGAACATCTTGAGGTTCTTAGCAGATTCAATAGATGCAAAACATGAGAGCATAATAACATTTGAAAGCTAGAATGATATATTAGGTTTTCTGACAAATTTATTCTAACAATGACCCCCCAAGATGTCAATTTCTTACTGTGGTACCCTGAGTTCTCAAACACAAAGGGATGAACGGGCCACGAGCGTGGCTGGCTAATGAATGTAACCCTATGGCTGCGTTTGCCGTTGTTTTGGCACTAATGCGGTCTAGTAACAGATGCAACTGTAATTTGTGACTCATTTGCTACCCCATTACTGCTTAATGAAATCTAACATATCACATTAACAATACGGATAAACACTCATTCCTGATATGTGGCATTTGGCTGTTTTCATTACCACTGTAATTAACACTTGAAATATTATTTCAATAAATATTTAAAGTCCTTTAAAAATGGTCAGGGTAATCATGACACAGACAGAAAACATAAAGCAAATGTGTGAATTTCAAACTCAGAGTAGCCTAGTTCCCGTTGTGTTGTCTACAGGGCAACATCTATGTGAAGGCAGTTGGTTTCAGGCACGATTCTGACTTTACAGCATCAAACCTAGAGTCTTCCTGAATTAGTCTGCACTCATTAACATCTTAAAGAAAAACAAATAAATTTACTTTTAATGCAGTGATTGAGAAATTAGGCACATACTATAATGTAGTACATTAACATTAACCTGGGCTTTATTTTTTGTTCAAGAAAAGATGTACAGTGAAGTCATTACTTAAGATTACCTCTTTAACATAAAGCATGTCTTATGCTGGGCAGTCAAAATTAAGGAGCTTTTCATTTTTATTTTTGTTAAGGAATAAAGAGAGAGAGAGAGCGCGCGAGAGAGATAATATGTCCCTCCAGTATATTTTAAGAAAAATTAATTTAAGCTAGAATTTAATATATTACTATTTCATAACCTAATAAAACAATACCATAAAATTCTATTATATTAACTAACAAAATGCTACAAGCTTAAATGACTTTTAAAGAGGCGTAATAAATTAAACATAAAGTTAAACATTTCTTAGAGAAAAGGGGAATCAAAACACTGGTTACCCGAGATTATAAAAATAACCCAGTAAGGTATCAACCAAAAAAGACATTGACTTTTGCAACTAAGCCTTGTGACCAATATCAGGTTAATCAGTTAGAGTTTATACGATTACTTTTTACAGATACTGACTTTTCAGTGTTTACCTTGAGCATGTTAAAGTAGTATGTACATGGTTAAATACCATCTGTACTGAAATGTTCAAAACATTTGTTCCTTTTGATAAAAATGCAAATCTGGAGAACTGTTGTATCAACATATAACAGCCAATGTCTGACACGGTGAATTATCACAGCTGGAATTAAATTGTCTCTGAACAGCTGCTGGCAGTAGAGCTTTCATCAATGTTTGATTCAAATGTAGGGAAAAAAATCCTACAGAATGAAACATCATGTTGTCCTTACAGATGGGGTTTGTGCTCATTATCACAAACAACACAGCAGCCAGTGCCAAACAATATTCTCTTATCTGGGCAGTCTTCTTGGTTTGAGAGATGACGGTCACTGCAGAAATGATTAATCTGCGAACACCCGTAATTCTTAATTCCCCACTTTTTCTCATAATTTCTCAAAGTTAATTTCCTTCGTACCACTTGCTTCCCTGTACCGAGATCATTTACGAAGCCATTATGATTTTCATTCTCTGGGGTCAAGCTGGTTCAGTTTCTTATATTTGAATGTATTTGGAAAATGAAGACTTTTTATTACAGGAACCACAAGAGGAAATGTTCTATTTGGACCAATTTCGCTTCTGCTTGCTCTTGTTTTCAAATCTTAAATCTCAGAGTCTACGATTTTTTTCGGAAACCCTTTGCTTGATCTAATCAGGATCGAGGTTTTCCTGGAAGGCAGGCCAGTGAGACCAGACAACAGTCCTACGTCACAAAGTAGGGAATGCAGCAAAAAAAAAACCAAGCAACAAAAAGACGTTTGTTCACTAGTTAACTGCAAACAAACCCAGAGCCATCAAGGTGCTGCCTTTAGATTCCATCACCCTGTTTTCCTAGCTATGACCAAGACGTAGAGTATGCCCACCCATTCATTCCTTCATTCATTCAGTACATATTTTTGGACACCTACTATGTGCCAGGCACTATACTAAGCTGTAGGGATCCAACACAACCCAAAACACTCATATTACATCACTCCCACTGAAGACCCAAGATATTGTAACACCAATCTGTCAGGTTGTTCCCAAACCATGGCGACTTAATGAAATTATCCCCAGAGCTATGTGAAGTTTAGATATTTTCTATTCGAAGTCCCTTCCATCCAAGTTTCCAGAAAAACCTCTTATCTGCTTAGATGTAATATAGTTTGGATAGATAGATTCTTACATATTTACTTTTGTTTGCATCTATATTCTTTTCATTAAGAGGCGTGTATGTGTATGTGTGTGTGTGTGAATTACTAATGTTCCTGACAGCCTACAGACAAGTGATAAAGACCTGTCAGGTTATTTTCTCTTCCAATAGGTTTTTTTCATTTCTCCTCCAAAGTCGTTACCTTGTACCACGTAAGAGTGAGATAAATTTGATACTTGGCTTTTCCCTTCAAGCTTTTTAAATGATCTAAATAACACACAGGAAACATGAACAGACACATTAAGACAGACACCTACCTCGCTGGCTGCAAAGAAAGCGTTGTTTGCCTCAGCCATGTTCATGTAGTTGTTGTTATTTCCAAACTGAAAGAAAACAGATTGTTTTACGTTAATATGAGGCATCATCAAGAATTCTGGTGGTTAACATAATGCTCAGATGGGATTTGGAAAGAATGTTAGGAGTTACGAGATAAAAGGAGACGGGGTTGACTTGGACCAAGTGTGAACTGTGACAGATTTCAGAGCACTGGGAGCTGTGCCGTCGGCTGGTTCCCTCAGAAAATAAAGCACAGAGTTAAGCTAACGTGATCCTTCTAGAAAACAGTGTTGTTTCTCATCAAGACTAATAGCAAAGGTAGACAAACATTTGGCCAACTGGTCACTGGTGGGTGTTGTTTATCGAACTGGCATTCGTCAGAGGTTAGGAGGGAAAGAGTTCCAAGAAAATCACCTTGACACATTTTTCAGGCATGCTGGGATTTCATAGCTGACTTTTCAAGAACAGCTGTCACGAGTGTGGGTAGGTTAAAATGTGAATTAAAGGGAATAGAATCCAATTCCCAGGGCTCAAATTCTATTTTCTCGTGAATGGGGGTGTGGCAGGAATATGAATAAATAATAAGACTAAGGAATATTTTTAAAATCTCCAAACAGAGTTTAAAATGGTATCTATATCCATCAGCGCTGTTGAAAACAGTGGCATTTAATCCCTCAATGTAACAATACGTGCAAAGAGGTTTAAAAAATAAGCAGGATCCTATGAACACAGCAATTTTTATTTAATTCCCTAACACAATGGCCCATTCATACCACCACAAATAAGACTGTATCAGCATTTCAGACATAAGCTCTTTACTTCTAGAGACCTGTTATCAAAATGTAAAACTTGGATTTTGGCAGAAATGCATTTTCAGGTTCAGATGGTTTAAGTAGGCACGTTGTGTTGCTTTAAACATTCTGTTATCAGTCTGGCAATACGGAAAGGTTCTGTGAGCATAATTATCTGCAGCTATATTATTTTCATGATTTTTAAATGGTAGAAGAATGTCCTTCTATTTCTAAAGTGTATTATTTCCTTCTTTTCATGCATCAAATAACACATAGGTTTGGTCTCCAAAGGGTGCAATGTATATGTCCATTCTCTGTTATAAACAGAGCAAGCTAGTAATTCCTTAAAGTAAAAGACACAATTTTCCCAAGAAGATGGGTAGATAGATAGATACAAATAGACAGACAAATACAGAGAATAAATGTAGATACAGACACTAGATAAAAAAGACCCACATAATCCCCCTCCCCATAAACCCATAAACACTTATTTCCGGGAGGCGCTCAGCCCCTGACTGAACCTGTAGGATTCCTGCTCAGAAGCGGGATTGACATGCTACACTTTATCATGTCAGGGATCCAAGAACTAAGCAGGATTTATAAGGGAGGCTCTAATGGCTGCAGAAGGCTGTTAAGGCCTACAGAAGCAAAATCCCACCCTGTAAAATGACACCTAAACACACACTCACACAATGGGCCCTCAGATTCATTTGGATAGTGTCTTTATAAGGATTTCTGAAAGATGTATTTGTTAGAGCTTAAGAAAGACCTTTATCTAGTTTCTCTGAAGGGACGTGGTATCAAAAAAAAAACATGTGATGGCTTCACAAATGTGGACTTATCGCCAAACCCATCAAGTTGTATACAGTAAATATGTAGCTTTTTGTATGTCCATATCATACCTCAATAAAGTGTTTTAAAAATAATTTAAAGATTTAAAAGACCAAATACGTGAGCAGGCGCATGTACGCACACACACACAAACACACACACACATTTCCCCCTATTTTTCTACAATGTTAAATATATGCAAGAAAATGGATAGGTTTCTGTCTCGGGATTTTTCGATGAATTAATGACCCCAGGATTAAGATCTCGGGGCTCCATTTCAAATGTTGTTTTTGGATATTTGTGAGAACTTGGGTCACGATGTGCATTCCGCGTACCTGCCTCCCCCAACCTCCTGACAGCGTATATCGCAACTTTACTGTTACTTAAATGTAGGTTTTTGTTGGGGAATTAGAAATCCATTTAAGGCAAACAGCTCATTATCAGAGAGCATTTTTTTTTAAGATGAAACTCACTTATTATCTAATAGCACCTAAAACAACAAAGAAAAATAAAATGGCTATTAAACTAAGGGCCTAAACAATTCAAAAAACAAATTAAGCTTAGAGTGAAATAAGAACTGGGTTAGAAATCCTCTTCTGAACAGTTAGTATGCGAATGTAATTACTGAAGAAACTACAGCTAATCAGCTGTGAATTGTATCCATTAATTAGTATTTGCCCTGGAGAAATGAGAAAAATCAGTACCAACGCTGGCACGGCGGTGCGCTGATGAGCCAGGCGACGGCCGCGCCGCGGTTACTCAGGCAGGTGGCTCCAGTGGTGCACGTAATTTGAAAAGCCCTCACCTGAAGTACTGAGCTGGAATTACAAAGCACTCTTTGCATATCTTTTGTATCTCTATAAGGCCTTAATTAATGGCTTTTAATTTGGAAACACTCGGCGATCTGGCGGGAACAGTTATAAATCATTTCAAATAGAAGCAAAGGTCTCTATTCTATTTGGGGTAAAATATCTCCTCCTCGGCAAAGATGGCTTCAAACGTTGACTTGTTGCAGGCAACTGTCTTCCTTCTGCCCTGGTGGCTGGGCCCCTAGTTTAGAGTGGATGGATAGTCAAAAAAAAAAAATACAAGATGCCCAGTTAAATTTGACTTTCAAATAAACCATTTTTTTTTAGTATAAGTATGTCCCATGAAGTATCTGGGATATACTTATACTAATATATATATATTCTTTATTTATCAGGGAGTCAAATTTAACTGAGTGTCGTCTGTTTTTATTTACTAACTCTGGCCACCCCACTGTGGTGGTGAACCTGATTAGGAAGAAAGGGACACCGTTTTTCATTGGATTTACCTTAACTAGTAATGCTTGCTTCATTTTATTTATTTTGTCTTAAAATGTGACCTATGAATCTTGTTTTACTTGTTTTGTGTAAGAACAGATCCGATTCTGAGAGAAAAAGTGATCCTCTGGGGCAGATCTCTAACATAAAGACCTCAGAACAATTAACTTTGACTGAATTGTGTACAATCAAATTTACTGTCTGTTCTAAGAGACGGTCACATCAGTAAACACATTATATTAAAAAAAAAAACAACTCTAGGTTCAGGAGGAAAGCAGCCTTACCTGTGTTCACCACTGTCTCCCCAGGAACTAACAACAATGCCTGGCCCTCCAGTATTTGTTGGAAGGAAGGAGAGAGGGAGAAAGGCAGATCACATTTTAACTTCAGTGTCTCATAATCACCCTTCTAACTGGAGCACTTTTATTGGGTTTTTTTTAATGATTATCATGATAATAATGACAAGTGTTTACCCAGTGAAGTCCTTACATATGTTATTTCATTTTACTTTCCAAGGTGGGACGAAATGTAATTTATTTTCCCAACAACCAGTTAGAGAAATGTAACTTATAGATGAATACACTGAGGCTTCCAGGGGTCAGGCAACTTGCTCAAAATCAGAAATGCAATCATGGAAGTCTGACATCCTTCTGCCTCAAGATCTGCATCACTTATATTCCAGTATCCACAAAAACGCAAACATTTTACTCAGTGGTCAGTCTTCAAACTTTATTTTTAATGAATGATCTTCCTCAAAGCTTGAATTTCCCAGAGGGCATTTCAAGGCACCTAAGTCTAGCAAAATACTCCTCAAGAAAAGGGTTCCAAATTCCAGGAAGTTTAGGAAGGGCTGCAGATGACCGCTCTTTTCTGGGTGAGTCACAATGCTCACTATAAAGTTAAAGGCTCTGAGAAGTCCTGCAGTTCACTGTTCCGCAAATACTTAACGTGCTTACGATGTGCAAGGCACTGGAGGCAAAATGATGACAAGCCTCCTACCTGGATGGAGCTGACATTTTTCTTTATGTGGGTGACAGTAAACTCCTCCCCAGATATGCTGTGGAACACATTCTTTTTGTATCCCCTACAACACCTCATGGGGACACACTTTGGGAAACCCTGTTCCAAACCCTTCATTGACAATACTTTCTTATTTTCCCTGAATCCTTCTTATAAAAGCTACTATCCTAATTTTGCACCATAGCAAAGTTTATGTGAGTTCACTAAATATGAATTTCTAAATTATGCACTTTGAAGTCACCTTAATTTGGCCTTCTCCCAAACTTTCTAGATGAGAACTCTCCGCTGATGTTCCCTCAGAGGTCCCCTAACTCCTACGACACAGGTTCTTCTATGCAATTTCCAGAGTCAAAAAAAAAAAAAATAGTTCAAATAAGTTAAATGAACGTCAGGTAAAACAGAGTTAACTACTCTAAAGAGCATACAAAAATGTTATGAAAGAAATAGGCCAATTCCAACTGTTTTAAAGGCCTTATATACGTGGGGAAGTGGTCACTGCGAGGGAGGGACATTTGTGAGGTGCACTGGTGATGACTGGCCCTTTCCAATTTGAGAGGCTCTAATAGCTAATCCCCAAAGATATAATCCCCAAAGATATAAAAATAAAGCAGATCTAAATTACTCTGTGTGTCGAACTTCTGTATCTTAATAATTTCACAAAAGAACATCTTCATTGTACTTGGAGGTAGATTTGCTTTCGCCGCTTGACGAGTAATTACAGCTTCAGCAACTACAATTTATGAAGGACATCAATTAAAAAGGAGCACGGCAGGATTAAAAAAAAATGTATTAAAGACCATCGTGTCCACGGCCCGACTAACCATGTGAAGTGCCAAAGTAAATTAATGGAGATTGTTAAGTTTAGCTAGTCCAGCAAAGGGCCTGGAAGACAGTGCAGCAGCAGACAATAACCCATCTGTAATCACAAGACGGGTACTTCACTTAGATGAGTCCACGCTACATCATTTTCACTGAAATTATTTTGACACCCATGTGAAGAATTGTATAGGCTTCTAATAAAGCAGCCTTAACGACAGGGTATCAAACAGTGAAATGGCACAAATTTAATCCTTAAAAAAAAAAAAAAGGAAAAAAAAAGAT